ATATAATGAAACTGAAATGTATAGTATACGTTTGTATATCTGTTTTGTGTGTGAGAGCACATACGTGTGTACCACAGCATTCTTGCAGAAGATGCTTCACCTTGGACATGTCAGTCTTCTTCCACAATGTGACTTCCAAGATCAAACCCAGGGTTTTAGGCTTGGTGGTGAGTGCCCTTACCCTCTGAGCCACCTTGCTAGCCTGAAACTTCAATTTAAAAAAATCAAATCAGATTTTTTTTCCTTTGAAGTGATGTCTGAATACTCTCTATGATGGTGAGATCAATGTGCTGGGAGCACCAGAACAGGCTATGGAAACTCCACACCACCCTCGATGCCCTTATTCTGCTCCGTGCATCCAATCAACTCAGCTGCTTCTGATCTTTATGCATTATGATAAAATGGCAAGTAGAAGTCTTTTCCTGGGTTCTAGTGAATTATCCATTGAACCTGGAGAGGGACGTTTATTACCAAGTTAGACAGAAATGCCTAGTGTCTTTGCAGTTGCACCTAGCATCTTATGTGAGAGCAGGTCCTTGAACCTAGAAAATAGCATACTACCTCTCTGTAGTTAGTGTGACAGAGGTGGCTCATGGGTCACCCCATATGAAACCACAGAAAGTTAAAGAGTTATCAGGTATCAGAAAATCAGTCTCCCAAAAGTTAGATGCACAGAATCCATTCATATGTTTTCACTAAAATGACAAATCTTCTGAAGAGTAAGCAGATCTGGACTGAAAACCAAAAAGCTTCAATGACCCTGCACAGTCCTGGAAATGTAATAGGAAGAAATGAAGCAGAGAACACATAAGAACTTCCAAGGCCTTCCCCAGTTCAGTGTCCTCCTTGCTGTTCTTGGGATCTAACTGTCCTTCCAGTTCTTCACCATTTATCACGGAAAAGGAATGACAGGTTCAAATGGTCCAGGTGCATGTTATCAACTGCAAGAAAGAAATAGAGAGTGAAAAGCTGAGTGTGATACTCGACCCCACCATAGTTCCCCAGTTAGATATGGTAGATGTGTGGTTTACATCCTGAATGGAGTCAGGGATTTTTCTTTAGGGACATTAAGCCACAAAGCAAACTGATCATGACATGCCTGACCTTTGGGTTAGCAAACTGAGATTTCTTTAGTGGCTGTAAGACATTTGTCCAAAGAAATAAAACATAAGCATCATCTCTTTGTGCTCAATTCTATCAGTGGATGGAGGTTGCTTTCTTAAAAACAAAACAAAATGGACCAATCAATCAAGCAAAACAGAGATGAGGCATTGAGTCTTAGAAAGACTAAGACACAGCCCTGCATGTAATCCCAGCACCCAGGAGGCTAAGACAAGAGGAAAAAGAATTGAAGGCCAGCCGGGGCGATATGATCCCTTGTCTTAAAACAAACAAGCAAGAGAGAGAAAAGAAAACCCAAGACACTACACAAAATAGGGCTACTTCAGACATAAAAGTCTCAGGAGAGGGTAAATGTCTTCAGTGGTGTGGACTGGACAGTTTTCTTGACATCTCCATATCTCCTGAGTGCAGGTTGGAGCCACAGTCTGTTGGTAATAGATCTCCAACAAACCCATCTGGTTAGCAGATTAATGGTGCCAATGTGGTGGGTCAGATTTGCTAGTGTGTTTACGAGTTGTTGCTCTTCCTTGTTTTGTGTTGTGTTTTATATTCTTCATTCTGCCCAGACCAGCCTCTTTGTTCTCATAACACACCACTCACACTCCTGCCAAGATTTTTCACTTTCTGTTGCTTCTACCTGGAACATTCTTCCCCAAGTATGTGACTGATTAGTGTTTAACTCCTTCAAATATCTGTGCAGTTTTTACATTCTCTGTGTCATTTCTGCTCATCCAGCCCTTCCTCCTCCAGTTTTAACATAGTCATGTGCTTTGTATTCCAACTTACATGTGCTTTATTTCCCAACATAAAATATGCTACATGCAGGCAAGTCATTGTTCACCTATGTGTGATACCTCTGTTCACCCTCTTCCCCCTCCTCCTCTTCTTCCTCCTTCTCCTCTAAGATCATCTTTAATTAGCTTACATATTAGTGGAGTTTCATAAGGCTTCTTCATTCTTCCTTAGTTTTGGTTAATTCATCCCTCATTTTCCCTGCACATTACTCCCACCCCCATTTAAGCCTGTAACTCACAGCATGCCCCCTCTAATTCCTCCAAATGACATGTGCTCTACTGTCTCCTTTTATAGTAGCAAGATCATAGGCTCCCACGGAACTTTTTCATGTACACTTCACTTTGGTTAACCCTTCCTCTGCCCCCTCATTCCCCAACCCCACCACTCTGCTTGAACCTTTCTTCTGGAAGAACTTCCCAACCCTGCTTTTATCTGACCTGTAGTTGTAGTTGGAACTTTCTTTGGGCTGCCAACCAGCTCCCAAATAAAGACACAGAGACTTATTACTAATTATGGATGCTTAGCCTCAGCTTAGGCTTGTCCCACTAGCTCTTCAACTTAATTTAACTTGTTCCTATTCATCTATGTTCTAT